GTGGTTTGAAAGTAAGTACAGCCTTTTGGCTGGGTAGCTCCTCATGATTGTTGAGTTTGGATTCATCTATTCATACGAACTCGATCCTATTAAATTGTCAGCCTATGAATTCATTTGGCTATATATAGATAAGATAAGGAGTGTTTGAGTGTTTGATTATGCATCGATGATATCATGTGACATGACATTGATCTATATGCTTGAACAAACTTTAAATGCATATTTATGCCTTAATTAATTTGACTTGCATGTAGATGATTTAAAGTTATGTTGTTTTCTAAGTGACTGTACTTACTCCTATTCTATATTTTACAAGCACTAATTCCAAAAAAAAAAAGAATAAGGGAAAATCATTGAGGTATAGGGAATTTGTGATTTATAGTATGCTTCTTTCTTTTGATTTTATATATGCAATTGATGATGAAAAATTGCCAACTAGGATAATCTTTTTTTTGGTACTTGCACCGCTTGATGGTATATGTGTCTTTTTGGTTGTATTTAGTGTCCTAGGCTTTGTTGAATGAGCTATAAATGTGTAAATAAGGTCTAAATACTGGTGCAAGTATATATCTATATTATTTAATAGATGTATGAGATAATATTAGAGAATTTAAACTAGTTTACCTCCCTTATGATTTTGATAATTTTGAGATTGATGTAAGTTGTGGTGGCATTATACAAGTAGTCTTAAGTCCATGAGGTTTGGTCTAGGTTTTTGTTTAGGCTCTTGGCACTTTAAGTTGGCCTTAGACTCCCTGAGTTTTTAAAAGTATGAAAAAGGAGTGGTTTGGTTATGGGTGTCCAACCTTTTGTACATTATATTTTAGAAATGAAACTAACATTATTAGTTAGTTTAATGATTGAGTTTTCTGTGACCACTAGATCACTTTGAATAGACATCCAATAGAGACTCAAGGTGTATGAAAGTTTACTCCTAGTGCTATGTTTTGACCATAATATGTTGTCATGTCTGTGCAATTGCCTACCACAGTGTACAAGATAGAGGAGGCTCGTCGTAGTGCATTGTAGTGTTGGTCGCGGGGAATAACCTCAATATCATCAAGCACAGCGAACACATTATGGACTGTAGTAGATGACTCTGATTTTTAGAAAATTGGTTTAAAATATTGTTTTCAATCATTTCAATTATATATGAATATCTCATGATTCTATACATATTTAAAACCTTGAGTTATGCCTGTTTGGCCTTGAATTATCTTGGATATTGTGTCTACCTAGGGTCCCAAATATTTGTGAAATATACTCTATTAATGATAAGTTCCAAACTTTATAGTATACAAGTAATTATTAATTAGTTTTAATCTTTTCAACTGTAGTAGAATTTTTTTCTTACCGTAATAGGATACATGTATATATACTTTTGTTAATTTATATTTGCAAGTTTAATTCCAATAACCATAGTTGACCTTTAATTTTGGTCCTTTTCTTTTCTATTATAATTAGCTCTTCTAACTGTAGTTAAGCTCTATTTATCATGGTAAGGTAACTAGGGTAGTTAAATCCTATTTATTATGGTAATATATGTTATTATTGTTAAATTTGTGGAGCAAATTAGGTGATTTTACAATATGTAAGAAAGTGTTGCATATGAAGGAAGAAACATTGCATATCCAAGAAAAAATTTGTACATGAGAGACGTGTTGCATATGATGGGAGATTGTCACATATGTTGGAGAGTGTTGCATATGACAGAAGAAGTGTTACATATCATGGAAGAAATATGCATTCATGAGAGAGTGTTGCATATGATGGAAGAAGTATTGCATATCGTGCAAGAAATTTGCATCTACAAGAGAGTGTTGCATATGATGGGAGAGTCTTACATATGACAAAAAATGTGTTGCATTTAGCTAAAGCATCATTGCATATGAATTTGCAAATGTTGTAAGCACTCACCATATTGTTTTTCATGATATTTTTTATGCATGTTCAAATAAGAGCACATTTTTCATTTAAACCATTCACAATATCTTGAAAAACAAGGTTTGCGATTTTAGCATAGCCTCTGTTTGATAATATTTTCATGATAAGTTCATGAATATTTTGAAAACAATATTCTTATTCTAAATGGATATTCTTCACTTTTTATGATAATGATTTAAGATATTCTGAAAATTTATTAATTTTTTTATAAAAACACAAATGGATATTATGAAAACAATAATGAATATTCTCAATGATCATTATTATTACATGTAAATATTAATCACACCAACTTAATTAAACCATAAAAACATAATTGAATACTAAGAAATTTATTTATCAATAAATAATACTATGTTCTTACATTACAAGATATTACATCCCTTGAAAAAAAAACACACACACACACAAACACACAAACTTAAATGCAATGCAATTACTTCAGAAGAAGCACCCAAAAAAAAAAGTATGACAAACAATGAACTTTTACTTTTGCATTATTTCCTTCATTGATGCTCAACTTGCTCCTTTCCAATCCAATTTTCTTGAACAAAACAATTGAGGGGCATTTATTTTTTACTTTTCTATTATAAATTGCAGCAGCAAGAAACTTCATTATTATTTTTGTTGTAGCTAGATTTAAACTGAAAGCAAGTAAAGGCATTTTTAACATATGTAAGTGAACATAGAAATTGGTAAATTCGATCTTGAAGTCTAAGAATATGATGCATTTGCATATGCATTTTAATAGGTAAATTCGATGTCAAAGTATAAAATTGGTAGATCTTATACTAATTTTAATAGGACACAAATGTGAAATGTATGAGTATAACAAAAGGGTAGTAGATGGCCTAAAAGATAAACTCTTCAAAGTAAAAGGCAGTGTTAAAGCAAAGATTGATGATCATATTCAGTAGCCTACTAAGAATTGTGAAGCAACAAACCACAAAACAAACTTATGCATGTATTCAAATTTGATGCATCAAGATCAAGAAGAACAAATATATCAATGTCTACAAATTGACAATTCAAACTTGAAGGGCTAGCCATTAGCCAAGATTAGGTTGTACTACTAACTTTATTGCAATCCACTAACATTTAGCAGCATGATGAAAAGTAGAAAACCACAAACACACCCATGCATGTGAAGCCATTTCCTACGGTTATAGTTACTCTCAAATTTTGCAACTTCTTTCATGAAACTGTAAAATCAGTCATGGCACTCCAAAAATTTATAACTTATCATACTTAGGATGTCAAACACAAGCTAGAACACATTTCAACTCATCTAACAAATTAAAAGGCTACTGATGTCACACACATGCACTATATAATGGATAACAAGCAGGGCAACAGGCAAAAGGTATGATGGATGTAAATTGCAGAGCTGGATTCTCAAGAGTAAACATCAAATCTCAAAATAATGCTCATATATAAGAAGAAACTAGTCATTTAGTCAATACACCACTACATTTACACTCTATAATCAAGCAATGCATTTACATAAGTTTAATCTGGTATTTTCATCCAATCTTTCTTATATGCAAGAATGGAATCCTCTGAAGAAATAGACTAGATCCTAGATCATTTAAGATACGAATGTGAATGCGTAATTTCTAAGAAAAATGTTCCCTTATGAAACATGATGTACACTACTTAAGAAAATGGTTTCAATATCAAGAAAAATTGTTGATTTAAAAAAATAAAAAGATAAATTGCCATACCCAAGGGACATGGAACGAATTCTTCACGAAAGATCTTATGATTTAACAGGGCACCACAAGAATTGCCACACCCAAATCTAAGTCATCACCACACAGCTCGAAACTTGGTGAATTGTAATCCAAGCGTGAATCTAATGAATTTTTCACAAATCCATCCAACAATCCGATATCCCAATGTTGAATCAAGCTATTGCCATCGATCCTCATTGGGGAACTCATTGCAAAACTAAAAAAGAAACTTCTACTACATGAAACGAGTCCTTGGAATGTTGAAGCAGTGATCTAATATCTTTGTCATAAGGATCTACTAAATTTGCTTGGCGAAAGGGATAAGGAGTTGCTCAATTCCTTCAATTTTGACAAAGGACCTAATTCCTCATCGCCACAAGCAAAGCTCAATAATGACCTTCAACATCCACGAGGAGAATAAGCAAGAGAGGCCACTCATTCCTGGTTCATGGGATGTGGACGTAGCTGTGGAAGACGACAATGGCAAAGTGACAAATCCAAGTAAAAATTGTTCTATGTAGCAATGCACGTAGTGGGGGCATTTTAGTCATTTAACTATCATTCTTTATCCCTCTCAAGGACCTGAGTCTTATACAAATTTCATGTCTTTAAGACAATAAATTGTTGGTCAAGTTTTTCTTCAGCAATTTTTTCTACTTTTTTATCATGTAAATACATAAATGATAAATAATCAGGCATGCTACTGACCAATAACATATATAAAAGACAAGTTAGTTACATTATTGAGGATGCCTCTCTTGTCATTAGTCTGGCTTGGTGCCTCTTTTTTTATCACTGGAGACTTGACGCTGAACCACACTCTTCAATCTCTGTTGCATTCAATCCCCATCACCATCAAAACCTTTGATATTCATGCTTTTGTCATTTTAAAAATATCTCAATTTGGCCATGCTTAATATCTTTTCTTTTTACCTAAAATACTATATATCATAAAAAAAATTAAAGTAATATCTAGTAGTGATTAAAAAAAAGAAAAGGAAAAAACAGGCAAGATCCTATATATCCTATCAAATAAGCACATCTGAATTCAGAAAGGCAATTTAGGCCCAAAAAAATTTCAGAAAGGCAAAACGGTAATGAGAATTGTCGGTGCATTCAATTATGCCAATTAATTAGCTCAGCGGGTACCAATAATTGATAATGGCTAGTTATGCATTTGTGACTTGGAATCTAAATTTTGGCTTCCCAATTTTACCCCTACAGTTAATGCACCTTCCCTCACTCCTGGTCAGCACGTCACCGCCCTCTTTCCTTTAAATTCACCTTCCATCCCTCTCCTTTCTATCTCCTTCTTCTCCCTTCGACTGCATCATTTTTGGTAACTCTTTCTCACTCCTTCCCTGCATCTCTTTATTTTCATATATGCACTACAAACGAATCGTTTGCTTAATCATTTTTGGAAATTAAGCAGATTTGGATAACACTCTATATCCCACCGTTACTGGAATTGGTGAAGCTCTCAAGAAACATATTGAAGGTTTAATTCTTTCTTTCTTTCTTTCTTTACTTTAGTTACCAATTACGCATAATACATTACTTGACAATCTACACATTTTATTATGTGTGACCGTTTAATTCGCATGCAGTTTTCCTGGTGGAAAAATGTGGATTCCCTCGGAGCAAAGCTTCGGGCCTTCACACTAACTTTTCAGAACATACGGAAGCACCCTCACTAGTTTACGAGTATATAATATTATCTCCTCTCTTCATCCATCTCACCTTTTGCATTTATCTCCCACTCTTGTACTCAATTTTATTTCTTTTCTTCCAGGCACTGGGCTATGACATCACTGTCGAAGATTACCACAGGTGATTACTACCCCATCTCAACATTCTTTTACTTCTTCATTCTTTTTCCGAGATGAATTCCTCATTTCCTCCAAAAACAAAAAAAAACAAAAAACAAAAAACAAAAAAGAATTCTTTTACTCGAACAATGTAATGGGAAATTAATTTTGTTATTTTTCTCCCAATCTTGAACCACTAGTTTCGTGCACGGAAGGTTACCTTACGAGTCCATCAAACCTGACATTCAGCTGCACAGCCTCCTTCGCAGCATCAAATAAAGAAAACTTATATTTTTTAAATGTAAGTTTCGTTCTCGTCTTCTTCTAAGCGATTGAACCCCAACCCTCAGGGGGAAAATGTTTCAGATATTCACAAATTTGGATACATTTCACGCGATGAAGGTGCTGAATCAGCTCAGGATTTGCGAGTGCTTTCAGCAAATCATATGCTTCGAGACCATGAACCCGAACCTCTGCAAGTCGACACAACTCGATGAGTTCCCCGTCCTCCAAAAGCCGTCGCCGGAGGCCATGGAGATCACACTCCGTGCTACCAAAGTAGATCCTCATCATACGGTAAAGATGAGATAAATCATGCTAATTAATCAACGCACAAAATTTAAAAATTTGTTATAAGATTCTTCAATGTATCATTTAGGTTAAATAATGGAATATGCGGCTATTTCTAGATGACAACGCGGTTAACATTGCAGCGAGAAAGCAATGGGCCTCCACACTGTTCTGGTAATTAAAAAAAGTATATGGTCTATAATGGTGCCACCTGTATGCAGCTTCACAGTTATTACTAGTAATATTAATTAATAGTAAGGGGTTGATTATTTTCCGAAGGTTGGGAAGAGAATGAAAAGCAAAGAAGCAGATTATGCAGTGGAGTGTGTGAACTAACCGGCACGGGTGCTTCCAAAAATATGGGGATGCCAATCTGACGGTCAAGATCAAAGGACAGCCGCAACTGCTAAGGGCGAATTCAATTCTATCATCACTGCAACAACCGCAGCTGTTGGAGCTTGAAACGACAAAAACAGCTTGGGTGTGATGTTCACGGGAATAAAAATGTGTATAATTATATAACAATATTGTGCGTATGCTCTAATGTTCACAATAAAAATGTAAATAGAATGAACAAAAAAAGTTGTAATAATTCAGGTGTGTTTGCATATGGTTTTCATCGTGCGAATGTATCTGTGAATAACATACATACAAATTGGGTTCGATTTAACAAAGACCGAGATAATTAAACTAATTGTTTAGGTTGGTTGGATGGGAATGAGCCAATAGGGAGACACTCTAGAAGCTTCATTTGCTTCATAATTAAAGATGAAATATATGGAATATAATCTCATAGGATGTGTTGCAGCTATCTGGAATCTGAATTTTAAAATGAGATTGGAGGCCCCATTTGGCTATGCAATGCTTGATTGTTTACTCCTTTCATCTTTATATATAAAATATTTTTAACTTAAATCACACAAATTAATAACAATTAATTATTTAATTAAAAGCACAGCAACATTTTAATTTTACTTCTAATTATTATATTATAAATATAAATAATTTTTTTAATAAATTATTGAGAGTGTTTATTTTTCTCTCTTTTCTATTTAAAAAGAATATAATGGTTCATTCATTAAAAATATATTTACAATCTCTTATATTTAGAGACAAAAATAGATTTTAAAATTTAAAAAATCTCTTATATATAAAGATGGAAGGAGTAATTCATAATTTAATTGATTTGGGGCAAGCTAATTGCACAATGCCTTATGCACTAGAGATCACTTCTTGTTGCTCTCCTAGTGCCAGGCTTCATTTTCGTTAGTTTAATGCGTGATGCATTTAAAACTATGGTCCGGTTTGGTTATATATTAAAAAGAATGGAATGAATTGAAAAAAATAAAAAAATAAGATGATCAAAAGGATAGATGAGCACATTCATGAAGATGATAAGTAATTTAGTTTATAGAATTTAGAATCATAATTCATAAAATTTTTAGAGAGTATGATAATTCTTGCATTTGTAATATATATTAATAAATTTTATCATGCTTTTTATGAAAGAAAGGTAATTTAGTTCATTTTTATCTTTTTTTTTTCAATACATTTCATACTAATAATCAAACGCTCCCTATAATTTGTCTAATATTCCCTTGACTCTTTTTTATAAGTCATTTTTTATTAAACTTATTAATACCAATGTAAAAAAAAAAAGGAATAAACGCATGTAAAATTTTAAAAATGCTCCTATGTAAAAAAAATCAAAAAGTAATATCATATTACTTTTCTCTCTTATAAAAAGTAATTTTAGAAATACACTTTAGATATAACTTAAAAAATTTAAAACAAAATTAAATTCAAAAAATAAATTTGAGTTAAGATCAATAATTAAAGAGCTCCCTAGAAATTTTAATCCCATTTTATACTTTACAATTCAATTTCTTCTTGTTATTGCATTTTAATTTAACTTTATAATCAAGGATTTAAATTAGATTATGTATTCATTGATTATAAAACCCGTAATCTAACTATATTGTGATGTCTCAAGCAAATCCTAATCTAATTATGTGTAAACCTCAAAAGGTTACCTAAAACTATCCTTGAGTATTTTTATATCTCAAGCTTAAATTATATTAAATCCAATCCTAAGTTATTTAATACGTGATTTATTTGAGATTTCCTTATGTTGAAGGTAAAAACCAAGATTCAAACATACACTAAAATTGGCCACCAATAGTATGAGAACAAAAACAAATCTTATTAAGCATTAAATCATTCATCAAAATAGATAATTAAAGAAAAATTTATCTACAAAATATTAAAGGTTCATGGAATCCCAAAAGATAAAAAAAAAAAACTAGCCTCTATTTCCTCTAAACATGTAAAATAATTAAAAAACAACACACAGAGTTAAAGACATAGAGTAGAAGAAGAAGAGAATCCAGACAAAATTCTTTGAGGACACTCCACAATGACTTTTTAATCTTTAATCTAAACTTTTGGTCAAAAAAAAATCTTTAATCTAACCTCCAAACTTTTGATTGATATTCAAGAATTGCCTTTCCAGTTTCAAATCTAAACTTGCATATTTTAGAAGTCTGCTAGGGTTTTAGTTATAACTTTTTCGCACCTCGTTGGCATCTAATTTTTGTTTAATTTCATCTAATTTTATAAAATATTGTTTAATTCCGTAAATCGGCTTCTACCATGTGTTTTCCCTTACGTCTGTGCGTGGTCGAGCTCTTCCCTATGTCCACGCATGGATGAACGGCACAGAGCCTATCTTTATGACCCCTTCCATGCATGGTCGAGTGTTGTGCCCTGTTAAGCATTATGTTCACTTATGGTCGTATGTTCTTCATGCAATATCCGCATGCAGATGAACGTCCAAGTGATGATTTCCTCATGCTCAATTATGTCAGACAACTTTTTTTTTTCACTTGCTCGCGAGCAGGCAACTCTTTTTGAACTTATTTCTTGAGCTTTAATTTAGTACTTCACATTTTTTACTTTATATATAAAAATATATGTTCTTTTTGCTTCTTTTTTTTTGAAAAATGTCTAAAAATTCATCGAGTAAGGTATTTTATTTAAATTTATATTAATTTACATATAATTTAGTAAATAAAAAAGAAGAATATATGTATGTGTATATATATATATATATATATATTAATTTATGTAAAACACGAACTTATCAACATTAAAATTAGATCATTCATTAATAAAATCCTCATATCAACAGTAATATTTGATCACACATTATATGAGTTGTATATGAAATTTTTACCAATTGGACTTACTTTTTTTAGTTATTGTTTAGGAAAACTAAAAGGTGGTCATGAGGTGTGCTAGAGATGTGGGGTCTCAAAAGGATGGAAGAACTTGACTTCTAATCAAACACGAGAAACCCAAGCTCCCTTATCACAATTCACCTAGATGTGAGAATATGAAGTGAAGAAAATTAATGTAGATATAGAAAAACAAAGATACATTAATTAAAGAAAGAGGTGGCAAGGTTATGCTGGCTGTACAATGAAAAATAAAAACTAAAACTACATGATAAAAGAAAAAATAAAATAAAGTAGCAAACACAAAATCTAAGACTGATAGTTTATTGATGTTGATGATACTTATTGAGAGAGAGTTTCTTTATTTATAGATGATCCTAACTTGATGTCAAGCCCCATAATCGTCAGTTTCCTTAAATTTATGAACCACTTTCTCCATCATGGTTACTCATCATGGGTGGAGTGTGGATGATCTTGACTTAGTAGCTAAAGCTTCATAAATATTTTTTAATTATTTTAAAACCAATTGAGTTGAGTTGAGCCTAAGCCTTCAAATTCATAATTTGGGTGCAAACAATACCCCTGCATACAAATTGGCCGAAGCCTTCATAGACCAATTTTGTATGGATATTTCCATTGACCCCACTTTCAATTATTGCTTGAGTAATATGTCTTACAGGACTGACTTATTCCCGTTCTGATTGATGGTTGATCTGGTACTTTATTTGAAGGACACTCTTGTGGTTGAGGATTAGGGACCATGTGGCCTAGCTTAGGATCAAGTTTTTTAAGGTTTGGGACCTCAAGAACTAGTTTTAGAATTGACCCTTCAAGTTTTTAAACTTTAAAATTAATTCTGTAAAATTTAGTTACTGCAGGGCTTAACCTTGTAACTTTTGCCCTGCGGAAAGAGCCCTTTGGAAGAGAGCTCCTTTAGAAAGGGCTCTTGCAAAGATCACCTTCCTAACTGTGGCCCTTGTGGCTCCTTTGGTGCTGGCTAAAGCCAATAATTTGAGCAGGCCAGGCTTATTCGAGTCTGGTTCAATTCGGGCCAGGCTTGTTCGAATCGAACTTAAAGAATCCTACTCTTTTTAAAAAACCTATATAGCCATGTTCGGCCCTAATGTCTTTGGGTTTATTCGGGCTGGCCCGAATACCCAAAACTTTTTTAAAAAATATTTTTTTATTTTTTAAATTAATTTTAATTTTTAAATAATTTTATTAAGTATAAAATATTATTTTAACTTGAAAGGAATAAAAAAATAATAACTTATTAACTTTATAGTTAATTACTTAAGTAACTCTGTTATTATTTTATTGTATTATGTGCTATTTATTCATGAATGTTTCCTTTACTTATAAATTAATGTTTTATTTGTTTAAATATTGCCCTTATCATGGTTATATAAAAATATTTATATATTTTAATTGAATTATATTATTTTAATTATGATCAAGTTACTCTCAATTTAACTACGATTAAACCACTAATTTAAAATCATTGCCCTGATTAACTCAAAGTTTTTAATAACTATTAGATAAATTGTACTTTTTATTTTTAAAAATATGAGAAAAATAGCCATCACTGTATTATATAAAACAAAATCATTTAGTTATGGGTAAAACATTATTTTTTAAATTTTTTTAATCTTTTATATTGTTTAAGCCCTATATACAAAGAGTATTTACTTTAGTTTATTCTTAATTTTTAACGAAGTCTGGCATGGATGATAATTAAATAATTATTTAAAAATATTATTTTATTTATTATGTTTGTTTAGTAGTAGAGCCAAAAATTCATACATGCCCAAATTTTATTTTTAAAATTATTTTTAATTTAAAATTAATTATTTTATTTTTATAAAAAATATAAAATATAATTTTTTGGACAAGAAAATGATGTATATGACTCAAATTTTTTTTGAAAAAATTGAATCTTAAAATATAAAAATAAATATTAAAATATATTTTAATTATTATTTTAAGATATTTTATTTAATTAAAAATAATAAAAATATAAATATTTTTATTTTTATAAAATAAATATAGTAATATACTCAGATATATAATATTTTAGAATAAAATGATATAAAACTTTAAAAATAATTAATATTTATTATATTATATATATTTTTAAAAATTTATTTTTTTCTATTCGGGTATTTGGGCCAAGCCTGAACCTGATCGGGCTTGGCCTGAATTTTCTCAGCCTATTCGGGCTACCCGAATAGGCCCGAATAATAAAAAAATTATTATTTTTTTGGGCTTGGGTCTAAATTTTTAGGGCTGGTTCAGGCTAACCCATCAGGCTTGGCCCAAATTATCAACTATAGTGTTGGCTCTTGTAGCTTCAATCCCTCTAATGTTGGCCCTAGTGGCTCCGACCCCTCTGGCGCTGGCCCCAATTGCTTTGACCCTTATGGCACTGGCCTTTGTGGCTCTGGCCCCTCTGGAGTTTGCCTCAATAGCTTTGGCCTTTGTGATGCTAGCCCTTGTGGCTCTGGCCTTTCTGACGCTGGCCCTATTGGCTCTGGCCCTTGTGGCTCCATTAGCCCTTGTGATCGAATGGGCCCCCCATTGAATTAGACTCATCATTTATCCTTTAAGGGATGTTTTAGCGATCCTTATTATTGATCTTCTGGTCGAACGGCACATTGGGAGATTACCCTTCGAATCCATCTATTCTTTGAAGGTGCGAGTCAATTGGAACTTGCTCCTGCAACAGTCTAGGCAGCATAGCAAAGATGTTCCTTAGCCTATCTTTCAGAGTTTGCAATAGAGCTCTTTGCTTCTCGTTAGCTCGTACTTCACATTCTGCTTGTGCAGCCACGTCCTCTGAGTCATAAAACTCAAGTCTATTCTTTCCAACAACATATTGATCTTTACTGTTCTCGGCATTTCGTTCACATATGTCCCACTAGGCATGCATAAAATTGTTCGGCAAAAATAAAAAGGGGGGTCGCAAGGCGTGCCAAAGACACGGAGTCTCAAAAGAATGGAAGAACTTGACCTCTAATCAAATGCAAAAAATTCGGGCTCCCTTACCACAATTCACTCGAATGTGAGAATGCGAAGTGAAAAAATTAACATAGATGTAGAAAAGCAAAGATAAATTAATTAAAAAAAGAGATGGCAAGGCTATGCTGGTTGCACAATAAAAAAATAAAGACTAAAACTATATGATAAAAGGAAAAATAAAATAAAGTAGCAGACACGAAGTCTGAGATTAATAGTTTGTTGATATTGATGATGCTTGTTGAGAAATGACTTCTCTATTTATAGACAATCCTAACTTGATATTCAAACCCCATGATCGCCAGGTCCTTGAATTTAGGAACCACTTCTTCTATCATAGTTACTCATCATGGGTGGAATGTGGATGATCTTGACTTAATAGCTAAGGCTTTGTAAATATTTTTTTAATTATTTTAAAACCAATTGAGTTAAGTTGAGCTTGGACTTTCAAATTCATAATTTAGGTGCAAACAATTATATTGAGATTTCTTTTTACGGTACCTTGTTTTCACAAGACAAGAGAATTTGGCCCTCCAATCTGATACGGAATTATCGTAGCTTAATAAAAAAATTGGACTAATTATTTGTAAACATCTTTGGATAAATAATGTGTAATATGAATGACTTAGGGAAAAATCTATAATTAAAATGGGTCTACTTTGTACACATCATCACTATCAATTTTTGAATAGTGCAGCTTTTTAAATATATTTTTTATGGATATGTTGATATTCATTTAAACTCCTAAACAATAGTTAGTTAATTCTTTATAAAATGCGACTGTGACTGGTTAATTAAAATTGTGAAACTGACGTTGTAATATAAAATAATATTTAAATAATTAAATGTATGAAAACAACGTTCCCTTCAATCACATACCTAGTTATAGCATAGAGGGGACAAGTGCCCCGCCGAAAAAATAAATAAATAAATAAATACTTTGTTCAAGTTTATACATATATAAATAGGTCTCAAGTTTAACAATTTGAGTCCTAATGTCCTCTCAAAATGTGTGCGTGCGTGTGTGTGTGTCGGCCTCATGTTATAAAATTTCAGAGCCCGTTATTGCTCCCTCTTTTCCTAAAGGCGCAGGGCTCGTTGGATGGTTTGTTTTAGTTAAAAGTGAGAAAATACAATCTCCTTTTCTCTTATATTTATTTTTTCCCTAAACCATCCTTGCAATTTGATTATTATATGATGTAGTATCAATTATGTATATTGATAATGCTTTAACGTAAATAATTAAAAGATAGGACATTTAAAAAAATTATCTAGTATCTTACAAAAATAACAAACTTACCTAATTTCTTTAGTCTAATTTTCTTAACATATAAATAAATTAATTGACTAACAGTGTTTATGTTGAGTAAGTCCCTCTTAAATAAAGTCAAATGTTCAAATGTTTTAGGTAAGAAAATATATTGGGAGAGCTACCTTTATTAGATATAACAATAATACAATACTCAAATTTAATTCAATAATATCATAAATTAAATTTTTAACAAATCATAGATATCTCATAAAATCTTGTGAAAAAATGCCAGGAAAAACAACAAGAAGAGATCAGGAATTTGGAATTCAGTGAATGACGCAAATCCACGCATTCAATAAACATCTCAATTACCGTCATTAAATTGTATTGATATTTAAAAATTATTGAGATATATTTTTTTTCTAAAATTTTAAAACAATACTCAAGACCATAATAACTCCTCACTTACATTATCCTTCAAAAACTAGAAATTTAATACTCACTGCGTATTACACGATAAAATAATTTCTAACAGGCCGTTCAACTGAACGATATTTAACATGTGCCATGAGACATTCATTCACATTGAATTTGAATGAGTCCCACTAAATCCAAAGATCGGATGGTGGAGAGTGGAGGTGGAGGGAACAATGGTTTATCTCTCCCTCTTTCCCCCTTTTTCTATGTGACTCGCAGTTAGCATTCAACCATGATTAGATTTGAATTTATACAATCGTTTTTCTTCCAAAAAGAAAAATCGTTTTAACCTGGAAAATGGTAGTTCGACGAGCGAACTCAGCACTCCAAATTCGCTTGCCTTCAAAGTGAATTTTAATTATAATTTATAACTTTTCGATCCAAAAAAGGGCGAAGTCGTGGAAAGAACCCGGACTAATAATGTGTGGTTTCAATAACGCGCTACAGGATTGGTGAAGGAGCTAAGACAAATTAATATTGCAATATAAGGTTGTGACAGGAGAAAGTAGCAAAATACAGATACAATTACAGAGCCAAGCAGCGCGGAGATGTTGGTGAAAACAGAGCTCACAAATCATAGACTTGCTTACCAGTGAACTTGACCTCGATAGGGCTAACATTCTTGCCAATAGACCTATAGTTCTGGCCAACTCCTTGGCGTCCAGGGTTGACCTTCTCAGGGTACACCCCGTCCTTAGGGTGCAGATACTGCACCTCCCCGTTAGGGAACACCCTGTAGAACTGATACTTGATCTTGTACTTTGACCTCAGCCTCGTCCCCAGAGCCAAGCACTGCTCCTTCCTGGCCAGCTTCAGCAGGTTCGGACCCTGCCTCATGATGGCCGCTCCGCCCGTGGGCATCTCAAAGATCTGTTCTTTCGGAGAATCCCATGTGATCACGTAGAACTCCTCCACCTGGGCCTTCCGCAGCAGCCCCCCCGTGCTCCCTCCGAAGATCGGAGACGGAGTGTTGGGGTCCAGTTCCGGCGGGGTGAACCCCACGGGTGCTTCTGCCTCCTTGGTTACAGGGGCGGCCTCTGTTTTCTCCTCCGCCGCCCTGATCACCGTGCTTGATCTGGCTGTTGAGGCTGTGAAATTGAGGGGCTTGAAGGAGAAGGGCAGGGCGGATTGGTTCTTCAAAGAAGAGAGCGTGGAGGAAGAGATGGGCGGGGTGAAGAGGGAAGCTTGGGTCGCCATGGCCATGGAGGATTCGCAGGACACGAGACAGGGGGGGTGTGGGTGAGTGAGTAATTTGGGAGATCAACAAGGAACAAGAGCTGCGGATGAACAAGAGAGATTTTGAGTGGGAGTGGATAAGGTGATATTGGTTTGGACCAATCAGAAGGTGTGATTTTGATTTTGTGGCACTCTTCACCCGCAGTTCCCACCACTTCTTTTTCCTATTTCGTGGCGCTCTAATTTCCCAATATCCACAATTCCACCCTTATAGAATCTAATTCCGGTTGCCAAACCCATCAAAAATTGAAGCCGAATTTTTGGTAATTGGAGTTTTTAATTTTTAAGCATTTAAACTTTCATTTCTATGGTATTTATGGTTAAGAAATATTGCCAAAACTTTAAAATTTGTTCGTTTGAGAAAACCTTCAAACATTTATGTATTGTGTGTGTGTTTTATGTAATGTATAAAATTAATTTTTAAAATACACCTTATGTCTAGAATCTTTAAATTTTTGTATATCTCTATATTTATATGAGAAACAAAGATGCCTGCACAATTGTTAAAACCGAACACTACAAAGCAGCAAAATTTAGTTATTTTTTCTTTTTAATTTAATACCATGCTTACAGTTGCACTGAGGTGAGGGAGGAAATGGGAAACCTGTTGAGGAGGAAAAGATATCCGGGGTTATTTTTCCCTAAGAAACATGCCAGCTGGGATATCATGGGGCATCAAACATGAACTCATTATCCTAGACAAAAACCTAAGGCCCTCTTTGATATGCAATATTGGAAGGTTGGGACTGAAATTGTGCTAAAGTATCCCCACCTTTTACATCTTTGGTATGGGACATTTATCAATACTTGAGATTATTTAGTCCCACCTAGGTGGGAATATTGAAACTAACCACCCCCACTAGTATTGTTCAATCTCACTAAACTTAATCTTGGAATCGATTATTTTTAAGCTAAAATGCTCTCATCCTCTATTCCTCATCTCTCCCCCTCTTCTTTCCACTCAGTCAAGCATCAACCTCGACATCGACCTCTCCTCCACCGACACTGCTTGAAAAATTGAAGAGATTGAAGATGAGATTTGGAGAAGATTTCGATGGTCTCTCAATCTTGCTATATAAATTTCATAATGTCGGAGATCAAAGATTTCATAACGTCGCTTGAAGAGTCTTCGCCATCCATTTCTGCATTTTTTCAGCTTTGTTGCCCTTATTTATTTTTGTCCCACCCGCTAATTGCCTTACTTTCACTTTCTTATCAATTGTTTTGGGATATCGTTCACATTAGTTTAAGTTTGAATTTGCTCAACTTTAAATTTGGTTCAAGATTGAGTTTGAGATATGGTTCTCAAATTTAGTTCAAGTTGTTATGTGTATGAGATTGAGAATGCCTGGCTTTAAATTAGCAGCTAGACTTGTGAAAACAAAACACTTTCTCAAATCTAGTTTAAGTTTAAGATGGAGTTCCAGATTTGAGTTTGAGACTCAATATTTTCTTTTTCAATGATCAAAGTCATTATTGTCATTTGATAATTTCTAATTAATTATGAAATAAAATTATTGCAAGTATTATATTCAAATATTACTCCATATCAAACATACTTTTAAAGCCTCAATCTCAACTCCAATATCAGTTCTAATCTTAATCTCAATCTCTTTAAATTAAGGCCTGCATACCAAACAAGGCTTAAGTTGACAACATGTTAACGAATAACTCTTTAACTTTAATTCAGACGTCATTTTTTGTCACCTAAAAACTTGAACCCGATTAAGGTGGTCTCATTCTTCACCCAATTTTTACCACCAGTGAGGTGAGCAAATCCTATCTAATCTTACAATGTTTATATTTTTTTTTGAAAAATTAATTTTTTATTCTTTTAATTTTTAACTTATTTGTAACTCAATCTCTGAACTATAACTCAATCTCTTAACTATAATTCATTGCGATTCAATCCTTTAACTTTTGTCTCACTTATAACCTGGTCCTTATTTTTTTTAATTTTTTTTAAATACTCTTATCAAATAAGAAGGATAAAAGAAATGCTCATACTTTACTCTAAAATACCCTCCTTTTACTCTTTGATTTGAGATCTAAATTTACATGAACAAAGAGAACTAATAAAAGTTAAGAAATTAGGTCATAAGTGAGTCAAAAGTTGAGGGATTGAGTTATAAGTGAGTTAAAAATTGTGAGACTAAATTACAACGAGTCATAATTAAATGATTGAATTTCAAGTGAGTTAAAAGTCAAATGACTAAAAGATTTTTCCTATTTTCTAAGCTTGTTATACTTGGGGGAGCACTATGTCCCTATGGGTAAATGAAACTATGTAACTAGAACTTTGAGCCTGTTTGGTTTGCTTGCGTTTTATGTTCAAAAAGCAAAATTTTGCTTTTAAGATGCTGGAAGTTGTTTGAATAAAATATTTTACAAGAAAACACATTCAAAAAATACATTTAAATCATGGTTAAAAGTGGATTTAAGAAATTTAACTATTTGAAACTTTTAAAAAGTGGATTTAAAAAGTAAAATGTTATTTGACCATGTTACCCTAGGTTTAATCTCTTACTCTTTTATTTAAAAAATAGTTAATTCATTAACAATATAATTATCATTTCAATAATAATAATAATTAGGTATCAAGTTTTTAGCATTATAAATTAAATAATTAACCATGTTAATTTTTAGCATTAATGTATAATAAAAATTACAAATCTTTATCACCTTTCCTAAAATTACAAATTAAAAAAGTACAAATAACTAGAAATCAAGTTTTTAGCATTATGGATCAAATTTTATGTTATTTAAAATCTCTATCATATTTTTTAAATATTTCAAATATATTATATTTGTATAATAAAAATTATAAATTATCATAAATCAATGTCCTTTTTGGTAATTACATATGCAAAAGCACATTTCAGTATCATAATTCAAACAACTTTCACTGTATCAAAATGACTTTTGAAAAAATGTATCCAAACATAAATTTTATTACAACAACCGATTTTTGCCAAATATACTTTCACTAAATGAACTTTTGATAAATTAAAAATTAAACACACTTCATCATTTGCTGGGGATTAAATCGAGTGGTCCTGTAGAACTATGTGGTTCATCATCGATTATAAAATATTTGATCAGTCTTGTTTTTATCTAGTAGCGTCATACCTTTGTAGGTAAACTTTTAGTCTCCCCCAACTCTATCTTTCCTCTATCTAGGGCTTTGTTAAGTGTGATGTTCATGTTTGCTTTTACATACTTGGAATAGTGAAGTCCCCATTCAGCATTAGATCATGTTCGTCGAGGAACAACAAGTTACCAGGTGTGTCAAAAATGCTAAGTCTCAATTAATAACAAAAAAGGTTCCCAAGCTCCCTTACCACAGTTTATCCGAATATAAAAGATACACAAGACTTAATAGAATAAGCGTTTGATTATTATTGAAAAGTAGAATGATTACAAGATGAAGCTGAAGAATAAAACTAATTGATAAACCTAAGAACTATGGGTGCAAAGTAAGTCTTTTTAAGTGTAGACTGTTATTTTCTTCTGCGTTTTAATACTCTATTTATAGTGACAGAGTGATAGTATCCTCTCCTTTAAAACTTAAAATGTTCTTCTGAAGAATTAAGGATCCTGCAAAACTCATAGCATGGTCTTTCTTCATTATCTTCCATTTTTTACAACCAGCTCTTGCTGAGATACTTGGACACAATGATGTTGTTCTCACAAGATCCGAGATTATTTAAAATCGTGTCTTTACGTACCAATAATCTACAGAGTGGATTTGCAACTAGTGTGATTTCGACATGCTTATCTAGCCGCGGCTTTCTACTGAACTTGGGGCTGGCCTCTTTGTTCAAATGGTTGATTGATACTGACTCTTCAATCACTTAGCTCATATAGCTTTATGACCTATCCAATATTTTAACAAGTAATGCTTTATATTTAGCCCAAACAGGTCAAAACCGATCGTTTGATGGCCAGATCAAACTTGGTAAAAAAAAAAAAAGCTTCTATATAATATCACAAACATTTCCAATAACACCCCTACATAATTCCCACCGCTTATGTCTCTACACGCTGACAATATTTCAATTTCTTACACTCAAAAATCTACCAATAGCTGGAAGAAAGATTTGTTTGCAAAATCACGTTACTGTGATTTCAGATTGAGATACTGTTGGGAATTCCCTTCCCTGTAAGTCCCCCCTCCCCTGAGTGATCCGAGGTATTGGGATAAAGCAATGTGTACGGCACTTTCACTGGTCCAACTCTGTTTTTCCACCTTTTGTCTTTGTTCATTTCAATGATTCTGTTCTCAATTTCAACCAGCCTCTTCCCGAACCTTTCAAATGCTGCCACTGGTTCGACATCCGAAGTCCACCCAGGAGCATCTCTCTGTCCGAGATACACCTCATCAGTTGAATGCCTGGACAAGATTTCTATCAATGATACACCGAGGAGTGTTTGGAATTGAGCTGTGATTGTTTTCAGGAATGCCAAGTCAGGATTCGACTCAAGCTCTGCATACTCTGGAGTGCCCGGTTCAGGCATGAATCTTCGACTCACGGTTGGGCGATTAGGGAGGTATCCTGCATAAGGGTACTGCCCAAAATTGACGGCTGCATGAAGGGCAGAAGCTACCCAGATAATAATGGTGCATGATTGAATGAGCTCACGTCTTGTCCTCATTTGTGGCCACCATGGCTCGTCTTTAAGATCGCCATGACCCTCATTACGGACTTCTTTCCACCATGATTGGAGTTCTTGGTCATTCTCAACCATTTCATGAGATGGGTAGTAGAAGAGGCAATATTCGCTCACCCAAGTTTCAATTGCAGCCCAGATTTCTAGCCCGTCAACGGCATATGGGTAATCCTCTATCAAAAGTCTAAGACCATGAGGGCAGCTGGAATCTGGAATTGCCACTCCTCTGAAATGCAATACAAGAGAGTTACGAGTTTACCATTTATGATACATAAGAGATCTATCTTTCGTTGAACTTTCTTCACTAACCTCTTGAGTAGATCAGCTGGCAGTGCCTGCTCAGGGAAGACCCAGTTTTTATAGACAACAGACGACATTTCCAAGGCAAATTTTCCTGGGAAAACTGTTCTCTCAAGCACCCCTCCAGCATTGATGAGGATTTGCCGAGCTAAGGCGTTTATGTTCATTGTGTCCCTAAAGTGGGGCTGCAGGAGCTTGTATATTGGGTGAAGCACGCTCAATTGCCTATTTGTAGCTATTATGAATGGCTCAATTACTGCATGAGTGAATAACCTGCAGATAAACCAGATCTCTCTAGTTATTTAGTTTAGGCCAGGAAACGAACCTAGTTTTAATAATGCTAGCATGGAGGTTTGTTATCTGGTGGCCATACCAGTGGCTAACAAGTTGATGGTATCCAGAATCATTCACAGCAGCGTAAGCTTTAGCCAGCTGCCACACTGAAGCCGCAACGCCCTCTTGTGCAGGAGTTAATACTTTGCTGACAACACCATGACGATCCCCTTGTGGGTGGGGCAAGCTTAGTTCAATGGCCAAGGGCTTCAATGTACCATCTTGTTTCAGAAACAAGAGTGTTCTAGTGGCATAGGTCTTTGTGTCTGTAGAGTTTATTCGAGTCAGGTATGGCATCAATGCATCATGATGATCTAAAATATACAACTTGTTCTTGTCAAGTGCCTGTAAGAAAGGGCAGAAAAATTGATTACCAGTAAGGTCTCTGGTTTTTGTTTCATTTTCATTTAACACAAGTTACGCCTGATTATTACCTCTTGTATCGTAAGCCCTTCTAAATTATACTCTATGTGTTCAGCTCTGATGGAACTATTCTGATTTCCAAAGAGGTCTTGGTTCAGCTTGCTAACGGGGGGAAATTCCTGAAGATAACATTTAGATTACAAAATAAAATGAGATGTGTTATGAGATTAATAAACATGTAAAATGACACTATTCCGTCTAGTACTCGGAGGCGACTGATGATGACGGGGTTAACTCCTGCCAGCATTTCTCTAGCAAATTCCTCATCTGTCCTCCAGGCAGTCTTATTATCTGCAATTATAAGAAGATGAACAGGTCAAAATCATTACATTTTGCCTATTCAAAACCCGGATGATCTGAATTGTGAGGGACCGTGAGCTGACCTTTGATCACATCAGGAACTGGAAATTTGAGGAATCGTTCGCCATCATTCCGAAGAAGTTCTCTCATTATCTCCCAAGGTATGCGTTCCCTAATTTTACTTTGCTTAGGTCCCTTTGGCAGTTCGACACCCCCATCGTAGAGTTTAAGAACATCTTGGAAGGTGTCAAATTCATTGAAAGTCTTGTCACCTATAGACCTGATCTCAGGAACCAGTACTTGAAGAAGAGATTTTACAGCATAGGCCAGGAAATCCGAAAACTTCAAGTGCCCAAACCGTTCATCCCTTGGAACATAAATGTCTAGGCTAAGAAGAGGCAATCTTTTCTCACTTTTGGGATCTGCAGCCATGAAAAGATTGGGACTTTTAACTCATAATGCTTTTTTTTTTTTTTAATGACTAGACACGGACTTAAATTTAGTATGTTTTTATTTGACAAACCTTTCTTAGTGGGTTTCCGACCAGTTCGTCCTCTACGGGGATATGGATACTCCTTTGACCCTCCAAGAACTGGACGTGCGTACTCTGGGCCCTTGTCTGGGAATCCTAAATCGTTATAGTAGGCATAGTCGTATACTCTGTCCCACTCCTTAAGTTTCCCCGTACCATTTCCACGTAGGTTTGCCAATTCCTCCTCCCTCAACTTGCGCAGTGGCTCAGGTGTTTGGCATGGAAGATAGGTCTGAACCACAAAGATATGCCCCCAAAAAGGAAAAGTGAAATTGCACGTCGTTGAAGATTATTACTATTTTAACATTTTTATGGGTTTCACGAAAGTTTCAGGTTCGTATTTTAATAAGCATTTTTTTTGTTTTTGGTGGATGATCCTATCTGAGAAACCAATAGCTTCTGCCTTCTGGAGATGTTCAGCATCATTACGGGAGAATTACAATCAGCCTCCTTTTAAAAAAATTAATTATAAATAAAGATTAATACAAAATGAATTATTGTTAAGGTAAAATATGACTTATTTTTTAAAAAATAAATTTTATTATTAATCTTTAAGTGAAATTAATTTTTTTAAGAGGAAGTTCGCTGTAATTCTCCACGAAATTATTGACCAAGATTCATTTTTGGGGGGAAAAAAACCAAGGGAATCACGTTGTCGCACACAATAACGTAATGTCCCTAAAAATGATGACTCAGGCAAGTGACGTCCTTGCTGACAGAACAAGACCTTAAAGTTTCCACAGAGAAAAGTGAAATGATGATGAGAAGAGAGAATTATATTCTGAATAGCCGCATCACTTCTTTTTAAAAAGCAAGGAGAGGGGAAGAATAATTACTTCATTGGAGAAGAACACGCGATTATATTTGTATCGATGTGCCGGGTAAACCCAGGAATTGCAGACGAAATGTACCGGACCGTGCCCTGGAAAGCCCTCTAAGGTGACAGTTTTGAGGTAAAATTGGCTGTGATGATGGTTTCGAATTATGAAGGCGCCAGGAACTCCCATGCCCTCGTCCCAGTTTGCTGTAATTGAGAATTCCGTGTCTGCTGTCGCCGTCACTGAGGATCTGGTTGAATTCCAATTCTCCAAGTGTGCAACCTTTCCCAGCTTTCCTCTGAAGCCATTTTCTAATGACGTGCCAATTGCCAACACACAAAGCAGTGAAAAAGCTAAAATTCAGTTCCTGGATCTTGGAAATTCAAATCAAAACTAAAATTCTAAATGAAACCCCCCCCCCATGCTTGATCAGCACGCACGATCAATTATTCTCTCTTTATCTAGACGAACTGGGTGCTTCAGACCCTTTGCTGCTTGTTTACTCTTCACATGATGAAACAGACTTGTGCGTATGAGCAAGACCAACAAGTGTAAGAATATAGAGAGACATCGGTCACAGATGAGGGTGACTTCACCTGGGTCAGGTTTAGCAGCACTGATGAGCTGGATGGACACGCCCTTGCCTAGCAACTCATGAACCCGATCCAGTACGGAGGCTTTGGGGTCATGGAAATCCAACACGCCCTTCTTCATCAGAACCACTCTCCCCCTGATCTTCCTTCTTCCCTCCACCTTCTGAATATTTTTCTCTTTGTTCTTTACACACAACATTTGACAGAAGCCCATGATGTTTTCAGCAGTAGAAATGTATCAGGGATCAGAATCTGGACATAAATAGTTGTTATGCGTTCGCCAGAAATAGCACGGAGTGAGGACTATATATAAAGAGTGAAGATTAAGGAAAAGCAGTTTTGTGGGAAACCATGGAGATACTTACCGTTCTCTGTAGTTGGAAGGAAGGGAGTCTTGACCCAATGGGGATTGGCTTTCTTTTTACTTATTCACATTTGGCTCCTTCCGAGCCATTTGTTTTACAAAGGGGGAATAAAAAAAGCTACAGGAGGGCAATTCGGTCTTATCAGTGCGCTTCTTGTAGGGTCCTTAATTGTTATATGTATGGACCGCAGGTTTGATACAAATATGAGGAATCAACATCCGGTTAGTCGCAGGATTTAGAGAGGTTAATGCTCGGGACCCAATAATGGGGTTTTCGTCTTTATCTCTTCAGTGAAGATAATTGAAGGACCTGATTCCTTCATCTCTTGGGGCTACAGATTAAAAACAGAACAAACTTAATAGCCAAGTCAGTAGAATAATGATGGCATTAGATTCTGGCTCCACGGTACTGTTCGAAGTGGATTATTTTAAAGTTCACGTGGTAAACATCTAGTTGAAGCGGCTTGTTTCCATTAAACTAAGATTCATCAATTCAAGAAGAGAAATCTGCCGGGTCATGAAACAGAAGCTGGCAGGCCCATTAACCGGGGAGTTGTAATTTTTCCTAATGGAAAACGACAATCAAAATGAAGAATCCCCAGACTTAAATGTTAAGCAACACCGTCAGCAGAGGATTCAAGCGGGAACCAATCAGATGATGACATTTGTTTTTAGTTGCTTGACTTGAAGAGCCACCAATAAAACGGAGAGAAGAAACGGAACAAATTAAGGATCTATCTTCAGAACACTCGCGATATACCATGATCCATGACGCAGCCTAGCTCCAGTAAAGAAGGTGAGGACATGAATCAGGAAAAGACAACTATGCCCCTGTTTTCCAGGCATACCAGATCATATCATAATTCGTCCTTATCATACAGGACAACATCCACTAGGTCATTATTGACCAGCGATATGCAGTCCAGGATTAGAGTATCCCATTTAAGCGAACATAATATCATCATCGTATCCTCTCGTGTGTACTGTATATTTCACAACTGGAACTCCTTGTACCCAAAAAATACAACTTTTTAGTTCAGTATCGTGTGAAATATCAATTCAGTAATTTCCTGCGACTTCATCCACCGGTCACATTACGTGGGGAAGATCCAAGTTTAATTTACGCTCACAGTAAAGATACATTAACAATTGCAATCACCTTGAAGCTGCATTAATTAATTAACTTATACTCCTAAACCTTAGTTACTCTCGGTGATGTTTACCTTGCAAGTAATTATTTGCTTAAGCGTTTCGTATAAAGAATGAGAAAATGATTCAATGAGATGATAGAAACAAAAACATGTACATAGTTGCGAAGCAATTAATTTGTCCAGGCAGAATGATCTGGTCGCTTGGCAAATCCATATCGCGCGTCTTCTTTTCTCAACGGGGGTGGTTCTCGTTATTTTCACAGAAATTAGATTCTAAGCAATGCAGGGTGTAATAGCTAGTAGAGTTACCATTAAAACATGAAGGCGATATTCTGCATCCTTGAAAATTGATCTTATTAATTTGTTGGATGTGGATGGATTAAGACAATTTAGTAGTGGCACGGCGCATAAAGCTAGAGGTGATGAGCGGCTCATGAAAACAGAAAGTTTGAAGCCGATAGCTCAAGGGCCCCATTGAAGATTTGGCCCTGGGCATCAAAATCCTAATTATCTTCTCTTTTAAAATATACATACACGTTATATGTGCGTGAAGCTGAAGAGCATCAATAGCTGGTACGGTTAATTGCATTTACATGTGAGCCGTATATATGGAATAAGAAAATGTTGTCGAAAAAGAGAGATTGACAAATAAAAAGTTAGTTGAAAAAGGGAGGAAGTGGTGGTGGGTGCCTCGCGAGAGTAATTCAAAGTTGATAGCCAAAACAAATAAGATAGGGTAATTCCAAATTCCATACTCATGATATATCTTGTCTGTAACAACCACTCAAATCCCAAAAGATTAATTCTTTCTTCTCATCTGTTCCTTGCTCTTCTTCTTTTAATTTGCCACTGAGCAAATATTTTGAACACCACGAGTTTCAGGAGCGATCTAGTTTAAAGGCGTATCTATGGAGTCCCTGATGGCATCCTTATTTAATTTTAACTTTGGATGGATGTTCCCATATCATTCACTACTACTTTGTCATTTTTTCGTTTCTTTTGTCTAAAATGGTTATTATTAGATGTCGCTTCTTCAATTCTCTGCTTTGAATTTAAAAACTAAGGGTAAATAAACAAATAACAAAACTCAGATCACCGTATACCCAATGTTCCCGTAATCAGTTTTGGACAGTACCGCATCAACATTTAATAATACTCCCTCCATGATCATTTTTTAGGAGTTGGATGTTTAAAAATGTAAAATATTTTTAATCTTTTAAAATGTAGTTATCTTCTTCTTTTTTTAAGTGTCGTTATTGATTTTTAATCTTTTAAAATGTAGTTATCTTCTTCTTAATTATAAGACATTTTTAGATAAAAGCTCACATACTAATAAACCTCATTAAATATACCTAACATTTTATCTTTTCAAAATAAAACTATAAACTTTTAAAAATATCCATCATTTAATATATTGAAAAGAGAAGGGATGAAAATTAATTATAGAAAGAGAATGAGTAAAATGAAATTTACCGCATTTAATAAACTCAATCTACTTAAAGTGTTTTTTTTTATGATGAAGAAACTTCTTTAAAATAACCTATAATTTAAGATGGAAGGAATATTATTTTTGTCACATGATCTTTATATTCTGGAAATGAAATACTTTAATTGTTGTTCTATAATTCAGGAGAGTGAATATTATGATAATTACATAACTTTTTCAGTATTTAATAGGAGGCAAAATGGATGAAGACAAAATTATAGAAGTATCCCATGGACAGGACAAAAACAGATAACACTCTCCAGCTGCCTTATAAATAAGATTAGAGCAGCGTTCCGATCAAATTCCAACGGCCCGTATTCGTATCATGTCAGACACGGCATTGAGCTACTTTTATTTTGTAGAGATGCAAAGGTCCATCGAGCTTCAGATGTGGAGCCCACTAACTTGTTGGGCCCACGTTCCTCTCAAGTCTCAACAGACACAGAGAGTTCGAGCTCGCGTTCTGTTTGCCTATCATCGTGCAACAGCTCCCGTTTTAGCTTCGTCTTTTATTTATTTTGCAGTGCACACTCGCAACAACCCATTTTGTCATCCCATGAATAGATGAACTCTTGTGCTTGAAACTTGAGATATATATTTTGTTGCATCATTCATCATTCATTGAACATATTGAATGAGCGAACTTTTTTTTTTTTCAATCCACTTCGGGGAATACAATTCAGGAACTGATTTTTCTATTAAAAAGAAATGAGAATAGCATGTGCCGTGGCCATTTAGAAATTACAAGCTTATGGCGGTACGCGGGAAAAAAATGTACCTTGGAAATATGTTGATGCGTGGGAGTCTTATTCCATTGTTCCTTGCCGTTGCCCTTTCTCAGCGTTTTTAGTTACTGTTGTGGACGGCTGAGAGAGAGATGGAGTTTGAGAATTTGCGATGAGTGAGCGTAGTTTTTAAGCGCCAGGATTCTAATTCTAAATTTAGGCAAAGCCTGTTGTTTTCTCCTGGTCAACGTATTAGTACTCACTTGTTTGGTGTAAACACTCCGCGGGATTGAAATATGACGTCCATAACTAAGTTGCTAGTTTTCCATTATATAAAGATTGAATGTTATTTTTATCTCTTAATTTTATTTGAAAAGTTACTAGACATCTTAAATTAAATATGAATTAATTCTATTCTTTAATATTAAAAGCTCCCCTCTCTTGTCACCCTATTATTAATTTATCATCTGATTATCATTATTAGCCGACATTCAATTTCTTAAATATTTTTGTTATAAACTATTGGGTTAAGAGTTATCTTTGCTTTTAAATTTACCTCAAAGGAAATTACTTTTTATTTTGCCCTTAGATTCAAAAGAGATTGATTTGATGCGTGAGTTTTATTGAAAATTAAAATATTACATTTTTTTAGAATTTGTCACAGAAGTATTTTTGAAATTGTACATCAATAGTTACAAAAATTTAAAAAATGACTTGTATAAAATATAAAAAATAAAAATGAAATGTGACTTATAAAAAAATATAAATATATCTTAACATAAATATATAATGCATGCATGCATGCATATATATATATATATATATATATATATGAGAAGTTAGCTTGTTCTTCGGGCCCTTACTCAACCTTTTAGGGATTATAATATAATTTGGAGACATTTGCGGGGTGAGGCATTATAATGGGCACTCGGCTTGTCTGGTTCTGATGATGGTTCTGTTTCCACACGTGCAAGCGTTGAATATTTAAGTAAAGGAGGAAAGAGCGATGAGATGAGAGTCGGGAGCGTTGGGACCATTTGCGACTGTGACACAGAAAACAAGTGAAACGTCACAAAATGATGCGTTTTTACGTTGGAACTCTTGTTTTTACTAGATGTGGAAATTAGGACAGGCTCGGTCCTTTAAAATGAGCTTTTATGGGCTCAACCCTTGAAAATTTAAATCCTAATACTCAATTACTCAAAATTAAATATAATTTTGAGGTCTAACATTTATTTAAAAGGTTCTCGGACCCTTAAATCTTTTTTTTTTCAAAAAAAAACTTTAATATAGAATAAATTCAAATTTCACATAAAATTTTACAAGGATTTAAAATTTTAAATTTAAGATAAAGATTAAAAATTTTTATTAATATAAACTAAATTTTTCTCATCATTATTTAAAAATAAAATATTAGATTCTTCGGATGTAAATTTACTTGTTGAAGATAAAGTAAAAAATTCAATGTTAATTATTTTTGAGACTTCTTCTTCATCACTTACAATAAATATTAACTAAATCGTGTCATTATCAATCAAATATATGTATGTATACATGTGTATATATCAAACTCAATTAGTTTAAAAAAATTAATTTTTAAATCTTGAATTTTATTTAAATAGAATCTTTAAATTCAATTTTTTATGTCTGACTCTTTAAGCTCAATCTTATTTTTGGCTTTAATTGTTGCTTGGATTGGAAGGCAGTCATTTGATGACGCTCCGTGTTAATTAATTGCTTGATCTCTTCCCTGACACTTCATCATCCCACCTCTCATCACCCCATTACGAAAGGTATCTCTTCTCATTCTTGTCTCCCCACACGCTAAACTTCCTTCTTCGTCTTCTCTTTCTTAATTAAAAATGCATGTCTATGTATCCTACCAATTAGTCATTTCAGACAAGTAATATTCAATTTATTAATCAAGTCATGATTGAGGTAGGCTTGTTGTGAATCTGAGACCGACTAGTCCTAACGCGTAGCTTCTAAGCACTAATGCTGCTGCACGTGAAACTAAACATTCTAAAGCTGTGCTTGCCGTTGACTGAATATTACCTATTTTTAAATTTAATTTTATCAATGACCTACATGATATGTTTGATTTTCGTCAAGAAAAATATGAATCTTCATGTTAATCATGTCAACTATTCTACCCGTAACTCCACCCTATGTTGCCAGAACTTTTTTCCTTAATCCTTGTTTGATTCAAAGAGAAAAAAGAAAGGGAGGGAAGGTGAGAAACAGTGTGTTTGGATAGTAAATATAATTGATTTTTGGCTCAAAAATCGATTCTCCCAAAAATTATCCAAACACCCACTTTTTGGGAGAATCGATTTTCAGGCCAAAAATCGATTATTTTCAGAAGCTGAGGATCAGAGCTTCTGCGGAGAAGCTTGTTCAGATATTGGGGAAAATTACAAAGACAGGCCCAAGCAAAAATTACAAAAAAAGCACACAATTTAATAAAAATAAAACCAAACTCTCTTCTTTTTCTCCTTTTTTTTTCTTAATAAAATTTGAACTTTGCATCTTCAAAAAATTAATATTTAGTATTTAAAAATTAAATTATATAGTAATTTATATAACTAAATTGATTCTACTTAAATTATCCAAACATCTTTAATTCTGTTAAAATCAATTTTAGAAAAATAATATCCAAACAATTGCGTTATAACATAATCAATTATGATTAAAATCTACCACTTAATCAATTATTTTTATAATCTATTATACCCAACTGAAATCCAAACGGACCCAAAAAATCTCTCCAAATTGAGGGAAGGTTTTAGAGGAGAAAGGAGGAAAAAGTTTAAAAAATTTTCCTCCCCTCCCTTCATCTCCTTTTATCTCATCTAAAAAGAGAGAGCCACTCTCCTTCCCTTATCTGGTAAGGTAGAAAAATTTTTTAAAATTTTTTCCTCCTCTTCCCTCCCTTCTCTTCTAACTAAATAAGGTTTTAATTATAAAGGAGGTGTATTATTTTAAGAATTGTTAAATAAAGGGATATATTAAATTAATTAATAACCAACTTCATGCACATTCCTCCTGCAATTCATACGCGGGACAAAAGTACCACCTCTTCCCCTTACAAACATTAAATAGAAATAATGCATATAAAATTTGCCTTGACTTTTTTTTTTTATTATGACGAACAATCTTTTTAAGAAAATGTTTAGCTGAGTTTATGATTTTTTTTCAAAAATAATATAACACGTATCTAATCTAGAAATTAACACATGAGGGCACAGGAAGAAAGATTACAAAAGCGGGTAATAAAAATAAAACCAAACTCTCTTCTTTTTTCCTTTTTTTTTCTTAATAAAATTTGAACTTTGCATCTTCAAAAATTAATATTTAGTATTAAAAATTAAATTATATAGTAATTTATATAACTAAAATTGATTCTACTTAAATTATCCAAACATCTTTAATTCTGTTTAAAATCAATTTAGAAAAAATAATATCCAAACAGATTGCGTTATAACATAATCAATATGATTAAAATCTACCACTTAATCAATTATTTTTATAATCTATTATACCCAACTGAAATCCAAACGGACCCAAAAATCTCTCCAAATTGCGGAAGGTTTTAGAGGAGAAAGGAGGAAAAAGTTTAAAAAATTTTCCTCCCCTCCCTTCATCTCCTTTTATCTCATCTAAACAAGAGAGAGCCACTCTCCTTCCCTTATCTGGTAAGGTAGAAAAATTTTTTAAAATTTTTTCCTCCTCTTCCCTCCCTTCTCTTCTAACTAAATAAGGTTTTAATTATAAAGGAGGTGTATTATTTTAAGAATTGTTAAATAAAGGGATATATTAAATTAATTAATAACCAACTTCATGCACATTCCTCCTGCAATTCATACCGCGGGACAAAAGTACCACTCTTCCCCTTACAAACATTAAATAGAAATAATGCATATAAAATTTGCCTTGACTTTTTTTTTTATTATGACGAACAATCTTTTTAAGAAAAATGTTTAGCTGAGTTTATGATTTTTTTCAAAAATACATATAACACGTATCTAATCTAGAAATAACACATGAGGCACAGGAAGAAAGATTACAAAAAAGAGCGGGGGGCCAAAATTAGTTTTCACACGCGTTGTAAATAAAAACACACACATTTTACGAAGACAACTTATACCGTGATGGCGAGCACCCCCTTGTATTCGTCCCTTATCTATCAATCAAATTTCTATGATTACAAAAAATATTATTGCAATAAAAAATATTTTTTTCAGTTAAAAGTTATTTATGTTTGGGTTGACATGGGTTTTTATTAAAGCCAGGTTAAATGTTTGATTTGAAGAACATAAAAAAAAAAAATCGTAACACGAGGGTTACTTGATCATTGATAAACTTAAATGCGTAATATATAAGAAAGCAAGGGCAATATCTTGTGGAGATTGATTTCATATGTGAAGGTTGGGGTGCATTCTTCATTATTGTGAAAGTAGCAAAAGAAAACAAGGACGACAGAAAAAGGGGTTTAAAAAAAGTACTGGTAGAATATATTCCGATGAATATAAAGCATGCCCTTGTCCCCACGATAACTCAAACTACTTTTAATCAAATTTCGTCGTAAAAGTTTACAACTTTATGTTCTTCTATACTCGACTTTTCACTTTTATTATTTATGACTCTTTTACAAAACGATCATATTTATAATAAATAAATATTTTATAAATAGTTAATATTAAAATTAAAATTAAAATTAAAATAATTTGTTAACATTTAAAAGGTGCGTAAACATGTTTTTCTTAAAAATCAATTATATACCCAAACTGTAAATAACAAAAAGTAGTATAAAAGTAAATCTAGAATTTTGCCCCACCAAGTTTGACAAGGAGTAAGTAAACCTTGAAGAATAAAATCATTCACCGGCGTTCGATGTTTTCTGATTATCATATTTCTGAGCAATTTGTTTGTCATTATTTATTCCCTTATTTATTTATTGTCGCCGTTGCTTTTATTCTCCAACTAACAAGAACTTCGGATCGTTGAGTTGAGGATGACTGTCATTCCCACATGTGAGAAACTACATAGGATAATATAATTTATTTACGATAATATTTAAAAAAAAAAAACGGAAAGAACATAAGAACATTGTTTTGTTTTGTTGCCGGTACGTCGACCTGAGACCCACACCATAGAGAGCAGGCAGCAACGCCTCCGCCACCGATCAATATGATTTTTATTTCTACCTTAGATCTGCCAATTTAAACTCAACTACTCGGAAAATCTATTACCCAGTTGCTGGGTTTTCAAATATAGGCATCCGATCATACTGTTCGGTTTTCTATTGAGGCTATGGAGTTTCAGAGGTAGCCCAGAAAACCAGAGAGAGATATTGTGCAGCTCTATTTGTTAATTTAGTATGTGAACGGTATTGAGGTCTAGAAGAAAAACGTCTTTTTCTCGACGAACCGTCATGTCGATCTCAGGCAAGTCGTTTTATTTTCCGTTCAATCTTTTACTGTTCTATTTTTCTATTCTCTGTCGGTTTTGATCTTCGACGTTGACAAGTTTCCTGTCCTTTTCTTCTTTTTTTGGCTATTATTAATTGTCCATTTTGGAGGTGGATTTTCTATGGTCGATCAGTATTTGGTTTTGGAGCGTGCGCTCAGAAATTCTAGCTTTGATATTTGGATCGGTTAAGATGGTTGTACTTGTTAGTTTTTCATCAGAACTTCGATGAAGAGTGATGTACAATAGAAGAGGGTTTCAGTACCTCAGTTTCCAGAGTTCTTAGAATGCGTCAATTTTTGGCCCGTTTAGATGGTCTGATGACTTCTGAGGGAGTTGCTGGGGATAGTATACGATATTGTGACCACGATTCCTTATTTATGTAAGGATTTTTCTATTGTGAAAGGAGATGAATTTTTCCTGCTTTTGGTTCTGAGACGCGGGACTGGCAAGCATGCAAGTGTGGAAGGGCCATTCATTCTCGTGGGGTTGATAAACTTCTTATCTAATCAGCATTGATTGGCTTCCTATAACCATCTTAATTTGAATTGGATAACTGGGGGGATATTGTCTGGTATCCAGATTGGCTTCCTATACAATATATTTTGACAAAGACCTCTTTTATATAACATTTAGAGTTACATTTCTGGATAGGAGCTTTGAAGTCCCATTGTTATATGAACCTCCTTTATGCATGAATTCTTCACTTTGGATCCCGAAATTTGTTATCCTATTGTGTGTGTGTGTGTGTGAGAAAGTGCATAACCTAGTTATTATTTTCAAGTTGTTTTTATTGCTTAAATTATCTGCATCTGCAAAATTAGCTGATGACTTTACCATTTCTGAAATGTAGCCTTTTGGCCTGTTAACACCCGGTTTTTCCCCCTTCTAGAGGTGGCGGGGGTGCTGGTGACTGGTTAGCCATGCTGTTTATTCTTCTATTACCATATTTGTTTTGATTGCTGCTTGGTATTAAGCCACTGTAGCATGTGCGAAATGATTTCCCCTTGCTTGTTGATTTTACTATCTCCATGATGAATGCTACCCCTGCCATTCTGGTGGTTTTTGTCAAAATATATGCTTTCCTCTCTGGCTTCTTGAATGATGGAAGAACAGTTACTAATAAATTTCTAGGCTGAAGAGGAAAGGCAATTATGAGTTGAACAATTCAAGGTAATTTAGGGCGTTTAGTCAGCTTATGACATGAAGATAAATGTCACTAGTCATGCTGTTGATGACATGTGTCGTACCTTTGGAATAAGTACAGAACATCATATACATAATTGACAAATATTATGTGTTGGATTCTTTAATAAATTCTCATTTTATATAATATGTGTGCACGATTAGTTTTCCTTGTTATTCAAAGAGAGACACCTGTTCTTTCAAAGTAATGATTATAATCTTCATTGAAATAATTAATTTTAAAAAATGATTATAATTTCTTTGTTTTGCAGGGCTCCATGAAATGCACCAGCAAGAGCTAGAAAATATGAAACTAGCAACACAACCCTTCAAAACAATAAAATTTTTTACACTGGCTATAATACAATATATGAAGCAGACAATATTGTACTTGTTGGCGAAAGGTGGGCGGCTTATGCTTTTCAGTATTGTGGTAGGGGCTCTTGGCACAGTGCTGATGACCATAAACGGTCTTCATGAGAAGGTATTTGCATTGCACATATTCTATCAGTAGTTTGCACGGTGACTAAAATAGTTTCACTTGGCTCTTTAGAGACTCTATGGCGATGAATTATTATGTATTTTAGTCCTGACAATATGAAATTCATATATTTCCCTTTGGCTACGTTATCTACTCCTTTTGTTTTGTTTCTATTTGTTTCTTTTTTCATGTTATATCAATTTATACTTCAAATTCTTGTTATTCTTGCAGCATTTTGAGGAGATTGTGGAATACTGTCGCTTTGGATTGTGGTGGTTGGCCCTTGGGGTTGCATCTTCAATTGGCCTTGGTATGAAAAGTATCCTTTAACAAATATCATCTATTCCCCTTTTCTGACAAGCATGCCTGATTTTGTAGTTCGTCGTTAAAAATACTTTTGATCCTTGGACAATTTTGGTATCTGCACATGGCAAGACATAATTACATTTGTTGGCTTAATACCTGTAAGGATGTGCCAGTCCTTTTGCTAACACTCTTTATTGCAGGATCTGGCTTGCATACTTTTGTCCTTTATTTGGGTCCTCACATAGCTTTGTTCACAATAAAAGCAATGCAATGCGGTCGAGTTGATTTGAAAAGTGCTCCATATGATACAATACAATTAAAAAGAGGTCCTTCCTGGCTTGATAAAGAATGCTCTGAGTTTGGACCACCATCATTCCAATCGGCACAAGTTTCACGGATCTCACTAAGCAGCATTTTGTCTCAAGTTCAGGTGGAAGCTGTTCTTTGGGGTGTGGGAACAGCAATTGGGGAACTTCCCCTTATTTTATCTCAAGAGCAGGTACAGTGAACTTATTGTCATCTCAAATTGTTCCCTTTGTTTTACTAAATGATTATGAAGTTGATATAATTTTAGATGCTAACATGCTTTAGAGAAGATATGCATGCTGTGGAAACAATCTATTTATATCTAACTTGTATAATATTATTATGTTGTTGCTAGAATTATGTGTTTCTATGAAACTTTTGTTCGTTTTTGGTCACTGCCTTTTCAAGCCTTGAAAATTCGATTATTAGTTTATTGTAATCATGACTGCTAAATGATTTTTTATTTAAAAGAGTAATTATAGGTTGGATTTTTATTTCTCCTCATGGTTGTTTATTCATTCAATTTATATATATATAGTTAGGCTCATCTTCAAAATTTTCCAAGTAATATCAAGTAGTAGTAGTAATAGTAGTCATCATATCTTTTGAAGCCTTTGAGGTTTTATTTATTTTATAAGGTCTAATAACTTGTGTTGATCAGCACTGCAAAATAAATCAAACTTGAATTTTGGGCTTTTACCCTCTTGCATAACAAAAAAAAGTCATGGCTTGGATATGTGAATGGCACAACTGTTTTGGTTGAATTGTGCATATTAGGTAAAATGTGAATAACTTAGAAACGGATCAAAATGCTTTTGCTGTTTTTGCAATTAGAGAGCAATGAAATAAGGATTAATGGCTACATTCAGATAATCTAATTCTTGAAAACTATTGGATTCGGCATTAGTTATTATCACCTCCATGTCTCCTTAAAAGTTTGTGCAATACAGGCCATGGGGTTCATCCCAGGTTCTTTACTCCATTACCATTTCTTTTGAGATCTGATTGGTAATGCCATATGACTTATTTTCAACATTTTTTTTTCCCTTGCATCCTCCCTGCCCTGAAATTTTCTTTAGCAATATGCTGTACTAAGGTCAAATTTATATAGCTAGACGTGAGCCTTGTGCGTTGCATGGAGTCTAAAGTGAGCCACTATTCATGACTTATAGTGTGGCTTTCTATAGATTATATATATATAATAATATATATTTGATATTGATTATCTAGAAAATTCTGACTCATATTTGTTCTGTCTCAGTTACTGTGCTAATTTATCTGTAAGAAGCTGGGAATTTGATGTTTTGTTTATTAGTTTCCTTTTGAATCGATTCATGAATGCTTATAATAGTTTCATAGTGTAGCACGCTTGTCTGGTAGCAAATTGGACGCCATGGAAGAGTTAGATACTGAAGATGGAGGAATCATTGCCATGCATCTGAGTCAAATCAAGCGTTGGTTTCTTACACACACTCAACATCTGAACTTCTTCACCATCTTATTGCTTGCTTCGGTTAGTATGGACTTCATACTGAAGATAGAGGATGACTTCTTTTTCTTTCAATTAAGTACACTCTGATGCCTTCGATAGGACTTGCTTGACATAGTGCTTAGTTCTTCATGTCTTCCTGTCTTCCTAAATTCATTATTTATGTTTGATCGACCTGGAAATGCCATTGATTGAAATTATAATTCAGGTGCCAAATCCTCTATTTGACCTTGCTGGCATCATGTGTGGACAGTTTGGGATTCCATTTTGGAAATTTTTTCTGGCAACCTTGACCGGAAAGGCAATTATTAAAACTCATATACAGGTTGGTATTTCTTATGTTAAAATTAAATATAGGCAAAGACATGAAACGGGATGTGATAGAATTATGAGAAACGTCCCGTTTTACCCCACCCCTCCCCTCCCCTCCCCACGAAAAGAAAACCAAGAAACTAACATATATGGAGCTTAGTTTTGCCGTTGTGCTGTCTTCTGTTTGACTCTATTTTTCTTTGATGCAGACATTACTCATCATCTCGGTTTGCAATAATCAACTTCTTGACTGGATAGAGAATGAATTTGTATGGGTTTTCAGCCATATACCTGGCTTTGCTTCTGTCTTGCCCACTGTGATTGCTAAACTCCACGCAGTTAAAGATAAGTATATAAAATCACGCCATGTGGTTTCCCCAGATATCCAGGTGCTTACATGGATTGAAAATGTCAAATTGCCCAAGTTTGGAAGTTCCAAATTCTTGTTTGCTGTAGTAGATATGTCTGAAGTTGATTTCTTTTTCATATCATTTCATCTCCAGGGGAAAAAATGGGATTTGTCATTGGCTTCACTCTGGAACACGGTCGTGTGGCTGATGCTCATGAACTTCTTTGTCAAGATAGTGAATGCAACTGCCCAGAACTATCTAAAGGGGCAACAGGAGATGGAGGTAGCTGCAATAACAAATAAATCTTCGCCCGCGGGATCAGACACACAATAAAATCCCGGATATTCTGCTAGTTTGGCTCCTTTTGCCAGCGGAGACACGGAAATGCTGAAGGGCCTATTAGGTGCTTTTGTGAGACTGCACATAGCATGATGTGCAACAGAAGTTGCGGCTTCATTCTTCTGGTTGAACGCCAGGCAGTATTATTTGGAAGGACTTCTAGATTTTAACACAATATTGTCAGCTACTTGCTAGGGTAGATATATGGAACTCCTACCACTCTTTCGCAATCCAAGAGAGACTTGTTTATTTGTTCATTTATCTCTGTACTCGAAGATTCTGTCTCCCTCCCCAACCTTCCTTCCCCATTAATGTTTCGTGATCTCATCTCTGCAAAAGCCAATGTTTCGTATTAAATACGGGAGAAAAGAAAGATTTGAAGAAAGGTGACTTCAATTTTTTTTTTTTTGTCAGTTCAGTTCATCCAAGTAAATTCGCTTGTCAAATTCAATTTAGTAAAAAGCTATCATATAAAACTTGTTTGTCCCATCCGAAAATAACGATGCATAACTAGAAGTTATAGTAAAAGAAACGCAAGTTAATAAACCCAAGACTATCTGCGTGTTGGTTTCAGATTTGCCATAACAAGAATACTAGTGTGCGGATGGGAAATTATGTCAGAGAGAAATCACAGAGGCTGCATTATGTGCTATAAGTTAATATTACACATTAGATTAATCAAGTGATGTTCGTTTTGATAATTAAATATATTCCTCCAATCTTATTAGTAAATTACTTTTAACATATTTTATCAATGTTAAAAGAAAATTTTAGAACTCATTAATTCTGTTTAAAAATTAAATAAATTTTTAATTTTACTCTTATTAAATATACATACTTTTAACAAAATGATATTTCTCTTCCCTAATATTCAACAGATGATTAAAAAAAAAGTATAATGAAAATTTAATTATGTGAGCCATAAATGAGGCTAAAAGAATTTTTCTCTTTCTGCTTTGTGAATAGGATTGGAGAAAGTAAATACAGCAATGCATAATTATTGGCGGTTAAGTAATTAGAAGCAAGCCTAAACAAGATGAGTTTTATTTCAAGGTTTCATTGAAAAACAATGAACCAGAAGCCAATAGCAGAAAGAGATTCTAGCAACAAGTCGGGTTACTACATATGCCAAAATGGCTCTGTGCGGCTGTACCATCATGGCTTCAAATCCTTCCTTAATTAGTATTTTAGGAATCTGGCCCTGCGTGGGTATGTGTAATGCCTGGATGAGGGTGCGTCCCGTAAGGAGGGAAAAGAAAGAGCAATTGGCACAGCCCATGTATTTGGAAAGATTTTGAAACCCTGCACATTTGCTAAAAATTACAGCACGATGATTTTATTTATTTTCTCTAGACCAGGATCTAACAATAAAAAAGCATTGGGGTCCTCCATTAACTAATCATAACTGCTACACTTTTGACTAATATAATAAAGAAGAGATGCGGAGTAATTGTAAGGAATATAATAAGAGGGACAGTGCTCAGTCCACTGTTCAGTTCCTACCTGCATTGCTGACTGATATGACATCAGGCAGAAGCAGTAAGTTTACTGTGGAACATTTAAATGCTGCAAGATCCAGGGCTCATGAATCGCCCCGCCCTACCTTAGTTTTTTTATTTTTTTAATAGTTGCCCGTCTGATATAATAATATGCTTATAATGTGGGAACCACATCCCTGATAATAAAATCCTGACCGTGGGCCAAATAGGATTTTTAAATTTGTACGCACTTATTCCCGCATCGAAGAAATAATACCAAGTGAGAATGATCAAATAGTAATATTATGTTTTTTATAATTTTTTTTGTCATTTTCAAGAAAAAAGATTTTCGAGAAACCATTCATGTAATATTTTGCTATCGAAATTATATAATTTTATTGGAAAATCTAACAATGAAAAATATAAAATCATAAAAAGTTAAAATCAATAGAGTTTCCAAATTTTAATATATGAAGAAGAGAGCTCAATGTCACGTTTGGTCATTTTTCACAAGGTTAAAGAGGTCCGGAATACTCCAAAACCCTCCAAAAGGCTCCCAGCTAATCTTAAGAGTGCTAGAGAGTGCAAGAACATTCTAGAGAAGCCTACACAACTCTAGTCTCAATATTTTAATATTGTCTCTAGATTCTTCTATTAAAATATCTAGATATTTGTTAAGAGAATTCTAGAGAATCAATTGTAACCGTAGGATAGATTTAATCTCCACCGTCCATTAAGGAGGTGGGAACATTCTAGATCCAAGGGGAGGCCTATAAATACATCACCCCTCCTCATTTGTAAATCATCCTTAAGTTCTCAAAACTATAGAACTCTCACATTCTCCAAACTCTCTCTACTCTCCTTTGCCTTCAAGCTTTCCCTTTCCTCTTCTTAGCCAAGCATCCTCCTTTTATACGAGTTAGGCTTACTTAGCAACTTCCAGTGAAGGTTGTCTAAGTGCCGCACGGGTCGAAAGACTAGCCCTGTGACAGTTGGTATCAGAGCTCGGTTCTACCGTTGTGCTTGAAGGAAGGTATTGTACAATGGCAACTGAGGAAGGAAACGTCGTTGGCACGGAAGCACAGGAGCAAGCTCATGCACAACAGGAGCAAGCTCACCCCAGGTCCAAGCGAGAGCGAGGCCGGAGTAGGGCACCTCCAGTTGAGTCCCTTGAACCTCGTGTTGTTAGCTTGGAATCTAACATGGAGGAAGTGAGAACTACTATAGGGGGACTCAACGATCAACTCAACAATATCATCCAAGAGAATGCTGAGATAACGCGGGCTGCCAAGTTGATGATTGCAGACCTTAACGATGATTTAGGGGAAGACATTCGTTCCCTCAGACGTGATCTCGCCGATCTCCGCAAATATGTAAGAGATGAGGTGCGAGGTCTACGCACTCAAATGGATGAGATTCGTCATGAATGGGAATCTCATCACTATGTGAGTAGCCCTATTAGTGGTAGTACTTTAAATGCCACTTCTCAGGGTCTGAAAGTGCCCAAGCCGGCCTTGTAGTGCTACAATTGTGGAGAACTTTCTCTTTGGCCTAGAACAGTACTTCGAGGCCATGGGAGTCTCTAACGACTCGATCAGAATCAATAATGCTTCAACTTTTTCCGGGATGCAGCCCAACTATGGTGGCGCAGAAAGCATGCCGAACGAGAAAAGGGCCTTTGCACTCTCAACACATGGGAGTTGTTCAAGTCAGAACTCCGCAAGCACTTTGTTCCCCACAATGCTGAGACAGAGGCTCGAGGTAAGCTTCGTAGATTGAGACAAACTAGTAGTATTCCCGACTACATCAAAGAGTTCACTACTATCATGCTCGAGATTGAGGACCTGTCCGACAAGGAGGCTCTTTTCTACTTCATGGACGGACTTAAAGACTGGGCGAGAGTAGAACTGGATAGACGCAAAGTGCAAACTCTAGATGAGGCAATTGCTGCTGCTGAGTCTATAATCGACTACTCCACCAAGTCCAAAAAGCCTAATCCTGGTAGCAGTGGAGGAGACAAAGGAGGACAAAAGAAGAATTTTGATCGTAAGGATGGTGGTAGATTCTTTGGTGGGAGTTCTAGACAGGATAAACCACCCTCAATCAGGCGTGATGCCTCAAAGCCACCGAAGCCATGCTTCATGTGCAATGGTCCACACTGGACTCGTGACTGCCCCAACCGCAAGGCTATGAATGCCTTGGTTGCTGAGATGAAGAATAACCGGGACAAGGAGCAACAGATCGACCTTGGTTCCCTCCAACATTTGAATTCCTTGACTGGACTCTTTTCTCCATCTAAGAAGGAAGAGAAAGGTCTACTTTATGCTGATCTTGCCATTCAGGGCAAGTCCGCCTCTGCCATGCTCGACACAGGAGCATCCCACAACTTCATGGAGGCTGAAGAAGCTAAGAGATTGGGTATCCAACTCAACAAAAGAGAAGGCACTATCAAGGCGGTGAACTCCCCAGCCAAACAAGTCCTTGGGATTGCCAAGGATGTGAAGGTGAAGATCGGGGACTGGCAGGGTACATTAGACTTTACTGTTGTCCCTATGGATGATTTCAAAGTTGTATTGGGACTTGCTTTCTTTTGCAAAGCACATGCCTTCCCTATTCCCGAAGCCAAGCCACGGGAAACCTTGCCACCTTGCATCCAAGAGGTACTACAGGAGTACAAGCACGTCATGCCCGATAAGTTGCCCAAGAAACTACCTCCCAGAAGAGAGGTAGACCATCAGATCGAGTTGGAGCCTGGTGCCAAACCACCTGCCTTGGCACCTTACCGCATGTCACCTCTAGAACTTGAAGAGTTAAGGAGACAACTGCAAGATCTCCTTGATTCAGGATATATTCAACCATCTAAGGCCCCATATGGTGCTCCAGTCCTCTTTCAGAAGAAGAAGGATGGATCGTTGCTAATGTGCATCGACTACAGGGCCTTGAACAAGATTACTATCAAGAATAAGTACCCGATACCTTTGATCGCCGACTTGTTCGATCAGCTTGGAAAAGCCAGGTGCTTCTCTAAGCTTGATCTTCGATCCGGGTACTATCAAGTACGCATCGCCGCAGGTGATGAGTCGAAGACAACCTGCGTGACGAGATATGGAGCATTCGAGTTTCTTGTCATGCCCTTTGGACTGACAAATGCCCCGGCAACGTTCTGCACGCTCATGAACAAGTTGTTCCACCCTTACTTAGACCAGTTCGTGGTGGTATACTTGGATGACATCGTAGTATATAGCAACACTCTTGAAGAGTATGCTCAACACTTGAAGAAAGTCTTCCAGGTACTCTCTGATCATGAACTTTACATTAAGCTGGAAAAATGTTCTTTTGCCAAACAAGAGGTGGACTTCTTGGGGCACAAGATCAAGGATGGAAAGCTCATAATGGACCCAACTAAGGTTCGAGCCATCCAAGAATGGCAGCCTCCTACCAAGGTCCCAGAGTTAAGATCATTCCTTGGTCTGGTGAACTACTATCGGCGGTTCATCAAGGGATATTCAACTATCACTGCTCATTAACAGATTTGCTCAAGAAGAATAAGTCTTGGCAATGGTCACAAGATTGCCAAGATGCTTTTGAAAAGCTCAAGCAGATGGTCGCGCAAGAGCCTGTTATGTCCTTGCCCGACTACTCCAAGCCGTTTGAGGTACACACTGATGCCTCAGACTTTGCAATAGGGGGCGTGTTAATGCAAAAAAGACATCCTATTGCATACGAGAGCCGCAAGCTCAATGACATAGAGAGGCGCTACACGGTGCAAGAAAAAGAGA